CAGGATTTTGAGCATAACCTTGCTAGCGTGTGAAATGAGTGCAATTGTACAGTAGTTGGAGCATTCTTTGGCACTGCCCTTCTTTGGGATTGGGATGTAGACTGATCTTTTCCACTCCTCTGGCCACTGTTGAGTTTTCCAAACTTGCTGGCATATTGAATGTAGCACCTTATCAGCATCATCTTTTAAGATTTTAAATAGTTCAACTGGAATGCCATCACCTCCACTGGCCTTGTTGTTAGACAAGCTTTCTAAGGCCCACTTGACTTCACTCTCCAGGATGTCTGGCTCAAAGTCAGCAACTTCATTGTCTGGGTTGTCCAGGATATCCAAATCTTTCTGATATAATTCCTCTGTGTATTCTTGCCACCTCTTCTTGATGTCTTCTGCTTCTGTGAGGTCCATCCCATTTTTGTCCTTTATCATGTCCATCTTTGCACAAAAGGTTCCTCTGATATCTCCAATTTTCCTGAACAGATCTCTGGTTTTTCCTTTTCTGTTATTTTCCTCTATTTCTTTGCACTGCTCATTTAAGAAGGCCCTCTTGTCTCTCCTTGCTATTCTTTGGAAGTCTGCATTCAATTTTCTATAACTTTCCCTATCTCCCTTGCATTTTGTTTCCCTTCTCCTCTGCTATTTCTAAGGCCTCGTTGGACAGCCACTTTCCTTTCTTGCATTTCCTTTTCTTTGGGATGGTTTTTGTTGCTGTCTCCTGTACAATGTTACAAGCCTCTAAACCTAGCTTAATAGACTAAAGCAGTGCACTGGAGGTTTCTTGGTTTTGCCCATTGGCCAAACGGTGTCTCCCTTGTGCCTGTAGTCTTTAGCTATTCTACTGAGTGTGCTACTGGTTGCGCTATCAGTGGCGCTGTGAGAAATGGTGTGGGATTCCTTAGTCTTTTGCATAGTCTGGAACTAGGTGTCCACAAGAGTGATGTCATCACTGCTAGAAGAATGCGATTGTTAGATATTGGCCAATGAGTCAGCACACAACTAATAACAGAGTGCATGTAAAAGACTGATTGTAAAGTCAAACTGATTATAGGAGGAGTTGCTGTCATGACTTAGATCATGTCATTTCCTAACCCTGAGAGTAGAGGTAGGAGCAGCCCCCAAAATAAACTGTTGCCTACTTTTTAAGCATACAGTGGTGCCTCGCATAGCGATCGCTCCGTTTAGCGACGAAATCGCTTTGCAATGGACTTTTTGCGATCGCAAAAGCGATAGCTTTGCGATGTTCCCTATGGGGTATTTTTGCTTTGCGATGATCGCAGGGAAGTGATCATCGCAAAGCCCCCATTTTCACACAGCTGATCGGCGGTTTCAAAATGGCCACCGGGGAAAAAACATGTCCGCCCGCTGTTTCTTGGGACGGATTCCTCGCTTTAGAGGCACCGAAAATGGCAGCGCTATGAAGGATCTTAGCTCAACGGTGAGTTTTAAGCCCATAGGAATGCATTAATCGTGTTTTAATGCATTTCTATGGGCTTTTTTATTTCACTTTGCGATGAAATCGCTTAGCAGTGATTTTTTTCTGAACGAATTAACATCGCTAAGCGAGGCACCACTATACAACTGTGCCATGGAAACAGGAAAACCATTTCAGCCTTACAGGTTCTGCTGTAACCTGTCTCAGTGCTCCCATGTTGCAACAATTGCATCTTGGCTATAACTGAGAGAGAACGTTGAGTTCAAAAGACATAAAAGTCATCTTATATCCTTCTGATTGAATTGCTATTCTTTCAATGCTATTGAGCCCCTTTTAGCTGGGTTCTGGGTTCTGTCAAAGGGAAATCTTCTCTATCTTTTCAAACAAACTAAAAATCTTTCCTGCTTTTTCTCATGGCATGGCATAACCATCTTTGTTGTTGTTTTTAAATCCTTTTTGAAGTACTTTAGTTGCATAGCCATAAAAATGAGAAAAAGAATATATGGTTTAGATAGAATTCAAATCACTGCACATATGTGTAGCTGGAGGAAGTATGACTGATTTAAATACCTTCTATGGGAAATCCTCACCATATGAAAGCACCAGTGACATAAAAGTTGTTACATTTTGATCCTCATCCCAACAGTGTTGATCAAGAATTTACAGAAGAAGATAGCAAAGCATGGGGTCAAGTTGGCTATCCCAGGGCTAGAGACCGTAAAGGCCACGGAACAGACAGAACCCAGACAGAAGGGTCTTGTGCACATACTTGCTGAAATCTGCCGCCTGGAGTTAAATGGAAACCTGTATTCAGAGCTACAACAGGTTGTGACTCGAGAGAAGCAGCATCTTCTAGAAGATCCTCTTCTTAATGGCCTACTGGATTTTGCTGAACTGAAAACCTGTGTAGATGTAGCACTGGAGAACATCACTGGCTATAGGATGAAGATAGTAGAGGTGAGCTACGGGGGAACCACTTTAAAACTTACTCTTTCTGTGCCTGTGGAATGGAAAGGAATGGAAAGGAAAAAAATCACATTAACTGAGACGTACATATTTATGTATCTTACAAATATATGTATTTTGGTTTGGTTTTCCGTTCTCACGAGTAAACCAGAAGTCACTGGTCCTTTTTTCTCATGTTCTTTTTGAAGCTGTTTACAAGTAAATGCTTCCAACAAAATAATGCATATATTTTAAACAACATGCACAAACTTCTACTAGATGGGTGAATGTGATAAAATATTGTTTGTTTGTTTGTTTGTTTAATTTATATACTGCCCATCCGGCTGCCAAGGCCACCTTGGGCCGTTTACAACAAAATTAAGCACAAATCTAACTAAAATAATAAACACATCATTATCACAATAATATGAAAATAAACAGAAACATATACTAATCAATTAAACTTAAAAGAAAGAAAAATACAACATAGAAGATAGGAAAAATACATACATTAGGGACAATGAATGCATGCATGCCAAAAATAGACACGTTTTTTGTGTAAAGTGGAAATTAAGTTTCTTAATCTGATAGAGCACTTGGACAAGATAAGAATACTGAAAAACACAATTGTAACAAAGACAGTGAATATGAAACTGACACGTGTTCAAATCTCTACTAATAACATAGGCGGCATCTCATTAACCACTTAACCTCCTCAACTTCACATTTGCAGGCTCTGGCAGGAGATGGGCACTTGTACTCACGGGTTACAAGCATCTTAAACACTCAGCCTATGCTGCAACTAGACTATACGGCCACCGATCGGACATCAGCAATCCTGGCATCAAAGGAAAGTCAACTGCAAGAAATTGGGGTTTCTACTGACCAGTGGGACCCTTCCAGTCCTCCTCCTGGAAGTCTGGTGAAAGCAAATCTCCTGGTTTGCAATTGCGCACTGAACCTGTTCACGAATCCAGAAGAAGTACTCTCCAACATGGCAGCTACTGTGAAAGAGGGTGGCTTTATCTTGTTGCATACTCTTCTGAAAGGAGAAACCTTGGGAGAAATAGTTGGATTCCTCACATCTCCAGAGCTGGAAGAGAAAACAGGTCTCCTGACTCAGGTACCATATAAACCTTCCTACTTCTCTTCAGTTCTCCCTGGACCCTCCTTTGCTGAACTCTTAGAGGTTTGGATGTTGCTGTTTTTAAATGAATAACTACTTTGTTGGTATGATTTTTAACCTGGGGGGGGGGAGAACTAATTGCAAGGCATAAGCAGAGTCATTAACAAAAAGGGCTTTGGAATTATTCCTAATTTCATCCTCTTTTAGAATACAAAAACCATAATAAGCAGTAGATCCTAGCCCTGGGAAAACAAGGAATTATTCTGTTGTTTCAGCAAGGGACAGCTATACCTAAATAAGCAATTAAATGATCAGTCTATCACTGGATTTCTCCATGAAAAAAAAATGTATTAACGCACATGAACGGTCTCTGGCAGCCACTCACCAGCCTCTTGAAACATGAAAACCAGCACCCAGAGGGAGATAGGTGAGAGGCAGCCAGACCACTGAGCTTAGTTACCTGCATGGCAGACTTCTCACAAAGCTGAGTAGAAACAGAGATGGCATAAACTCAGACATGATGAGAAGAAAAGGGATGGGAGAAGTCCTTATTTTGCTGGGTATTCTCTCCCTCCCTTCTTTTGTTGTGTATATATGTGTGAGAGACATATGCCGCCCACAAATGCACACAAACATTTACCAAACTAGGACAGCAATACTGGACAGCAATCCAGGGAATAAGCCCAGCCAGACTTCTTTCCTAGTAGAGATGTGTAGAATTGCACTGTTAGAACTGTAAAAGTCTGCTTTGTAATTTGTAAAGAAGCAACCCCCCTTTGAAATGTTTCAATATCTAACATATCTTAACTAATGTTAGCTATACTATGTTGCACACAACCTGAAACAACGCTGCCATTGTGTTCTAAATGTAAAGAAGGAGAGAAGAAGAAGCAAGAACAGTAATTCAGAATTTAAACTCTGAAAATACAGTCTCAGAGCGCAGTGAGACAGCAAGAAAGGCATATGCCTGTTCAAACTGGAAAAGGTTGCTTTAACGAGAGTAATCTCCCTTAAAAAGTGACCGTTTTGCTTGCCAGAGAAATCACTTCAACTTGGTCCCCCAAAATCGAAACCTTACAACTAGACCAGACAAGCCCATCTTGGGCTCAGATTAGGACTGGGCTGGACTGCATTTCCCCTTATGTTATGTGATCACTTGGAAATAGATCATACCTAGCCATCCATGAGTGATCCAAATTGTGATATGTTTCCACATATAAGCATGCCCTTAGTTTCCAGAATGCTTATTTATGGAGGTAACAACTGAGTATACAGTACATTGATTCAGGCATCATGTGATGGAACCCACGTTGTAATCCTAATTTGGCTTCCCTTGGCAGGTGGAGTGGCAGGATTTATTTAGCAAGGCCAGTTTGAATTTGGTAGCTATGAAAAGATCATCCTTTGGTGCAGCCATCTTCTTATGCCGTCGACCACTTCCTGCCAACAAGCCCATTTTCCTGCCTGTGGATGAAACTGATTACAAATGGGTGGAACCTTTGAAGGTGAGGACTTTTGAATGTTGCTCATAGTTGCTTTTAATCCTTTGTGCTGAGGATTTTCATCTAGACTAAAATTTCTCAGTAGACATTTTTCGTGGATTTTAAAAATGCACATCCTTAATCTGTGTGAAATAAGACCTCTGCTGTTAGAATATTGGCCATCTTTCTTCCCCACTGTCCATTCTGACTGGCTGGGATTTCTCTTGCAGGAAATGCTTGCAGAGTCTTCTGAGCAGCCCGTGTGGCTCACTGCTACCAGCTGTGGAACTTCAGGAGTTGTGGGCATGGTGAACTGTCTACGCCAAGAACCTGGGGGCCACAAGATCAGGTACGAAGCTTCAGCTTCTAGTGGCAGCATCCATTTTCTGCCATGATCAGCTGATGTAAATGCAAATGAAATAAGAAACAGATTTAATATTGTGTTTTACTTTGTAGGTGCCTTTTTGTTTCAAACCTGAGCGCTACTTCCCCTAATCCCCCCATCAGCCCTTCTGCCAAGGAGATGCAAACAATTCTGCAGAATGACCTGGTGATGAATGTTCATCGTGATGGAAAGTGGGGCTCTTTCAGACATCTTCCATTAAAACAAGGTGATCCTTATGATAAAGGACATAGAGTTTATTGCATTTCCTTCCGTAAAAACTAGAGGACAGGAACAGACTCTAACTGGTCCACTCCCTTTCCTTCCAAATGATCAAAGTGAACAGTCTCTCCTTGTCAATATATTCACAAAGGCTTTCACGGCCGGGATCTAATGGTTGTTGTGGGTTTTTCGGGCTCTTTGGCCGTGTTCCGAAGGTTGTTCTTCCTAATGTTTCACCAGTCTTTGTGGTCGGCATCTTCAGAGGACAGCACTCTGTGCTCTCCTTGTCCTCTGTGGATGTTGTCCTTTCTGTGAAATATGTGTTGCAACAAAACTGTTGACACAAACTCTTGGGAATTGCCAAATGGAAGCCACTGGGCTAGCTCTACAATTGTCGGTTTTTCCCACTTAGGGTGTCCTCAATGTCCAGGGCATTTATTGCTAAATAGACTATATTTGCCTTACTTATGTTTATAAAATGGAGAAATACTGATTGCTGTATCTTGTGTTCTTCTTTAGCTCAGCCTCAAGAACTGACTGAATATGCATATGTGAATGTATTGACCCGTGGGGATCTTTCCTCCCTTTGCTGGATTACTTCTCCATTGCGTCATTTCTACACAGCCAATCCAAATATTCAGCTTTGCAAAGTCTATTATGCATCTCTCAACTTCCGTGACATTATGCTGGCTACAGGAAAACTATCCCCAGATGCCATCCCAGGTGAGTTGGGAAATGTTTCTTCAAGCAGGAACATTACAATGGCCAGAGTCCTGAGATATGCTTTGGGCATTTAGGAATTAGTCACAATTTGCTGCTGCAGATGATGTTCATTATATGAACATCAGAAGGATTCTAAGTTAATATGCTTTCAATGATTGTTGTAGGTTTTCCGGGCTAATTGGCCGTGTTCTTTAGGTTTTTCTTCCTAGTGTTTTGCCAGTCTCTGTGGCCGGCATCTTCAGAGGACAGAAGTCAGAACTCTCTCTGTGTTCTCGTGCAGTTTGTGGGATAGTTGAGTATTTATAGCTGTGGGATCAGCTTTTTGTCCTTTTCAGGAGATTGGGTGATTATGGTGATCAGCATGTTTTTTGTTGTGGGTGTATTGCTGAGATAAGGGGGAGAGATGATCTGTCACTGTGATGGATGGATGTCATTAGCTGGTCTTTTGTGTGCAGTGATCACCAGTCTTTGTGGCTGGATAGAGTTAATTGACCTTTTGCAGGCTGTGTTTTTCAGTGCTAGGAGCCAGGCTTTGTTGAATTCCAATTGTTGTAAAGTCAAGGGAAAAGTTGCACAACAGAATTCTGGCCTGCCTGTATCATTGATTTGAACGGCAAGGAGATTATATTAAAAATAACTGATCATAGACAAATCCTACAATATTTAAAATTAGAACTCATCTTCTCTGTTATATTATATTATGTTGTGCTTTGTGATGACCAATATCTTGCTATCCCATGTGCCATCAAAGTGGCTTCCAAATTATGTACGTGAGATGTGCAGGGACTAGTCTACCATTGACACATCTCAGTGAATTCCCATGACTGAGCAAGGATATGAACCCATACCTCCTGAGTCCTAGTCTGATATGCTATCAGCTACATTATCTAGTCACACACTAAGACAGACTTATTCATGTGTGTGATCAGGTATGCAAGATGCTAAGACTTTGATGGGCATAGCCATCTGAACATGGTGGGCGATCCCTTTTCATGACTATATGGCCTGTAGCATTTTATCAGAATAGGCTCACTAGATGGTTCAATTATTTTCCAGGAAACTGGGCACTGCAGCAGTGCATGTTGGGAATGGAATTCTCGGGCCGTGACCCTACAGGAAAAAGAGTGATGGGACTGCTGCCAGCTAAAGGGTTAGCCACAGTGGTAGACTCTGAAAAGAGGTTCCTTTGGGAAGTGCCACAAAACTGGTAGGCAATTTACATCTCCTCTCCTCTGTACCTAAACTGTATGTATGTTGTCTGATTTGAAGCCCTTTCAACAATGTTATTTGCTCTAGGGAATGTGTTGATAGTAATAGAGCAATGCCACCTTTTATTGTGTATAACTTAACTATTTCCAAATCATTGCTGATGATTTGGGACTACATCCGTCATCCCCTTAACTTTGGGTAACATCCTTGATTGGGATATATGTGACTCTGGACAAAGTGGATCATTTTATCTATGCGAGACATAGTCTATGCTAGGCATGTTAACTAAGGGCTTGTCTACACGTGTCATTAAAAGTGTAAAAATATATATTAGGGCAGCAGATACAGTAGTGCCTGAACTTACGAACGTCCCTACTTACAACCAATTTGACTTATGACCAGCTCTGGACGCACAATTTTGCTTCTACTTACGACCGGAGCTTCCACTTATGAACAGAAAACAGCAGGGAGAAAATACGGAAAAATCAAATTGCTAACTGTAGGTGGCGAAAGAGGCTGCTGCTTTGTAGCTCTTTCGCCCCAGCAGTTAGAGAGTGTGTGATCTGAGGAGGCTGCCTGCTAAGGTATGGTGCTGCTTTATGCTTTTTAAAAACTATTCTTGGTATATTTGCAGTGTGGTTTTCGGCTGGGGGGGTTATGTTTTTGTGCTGTGCTGTGTCTTGGGGGGTTGTTTGTTTTTTTGTTTCCCCCCATTTCCGATGGGGGGGCTGGTTGCCTTTGGGAATGTTTTTTTCCCATTTCTGATGGGTGTTGGGGGCTTTGTTTGTTTTTTTTGGTTCCCCTCCCCCATTTCTGATGGGTTTTGGAGGGTTTGGTTGCTTTTGGGGGGGTTTCCCCATTTTTGATGTGTCTTGCATGCTTCCGTTGCTTTTTGCTTCGTTCTCTTTGCATTTCTGATTTGCTCCCTTTGATTTCTGTGCATTTCCAACCTGGTCCCTTTGTTCTCCCTGCATTTCCAATCTGCTCCGTGTGTTTTCTGTGCTTTTACAATTGGTTCTGAATGCTTCCCTTGCTTTTTCCTTTGCTTTCTGTGCATTTCCAACCTTGTCCCTTTGTTCTCTGTGCATTTCCAATCTGATCCATTTGTTTTCTGTGCTTTTGCAATGGGTCCTGCATGCTTCCCTTGCTTTGCTTTCTCTCCCCCCCGCCCCTTTGGCTGGAAGGGATTAATCGTGTTTCCCATGAGTCTTGCAGTGATTTTGGGTGTGTGTGTGATTTTTTTTTCCTTTGGCCGGAATGGGTTAATTGCATTTCAATGAATCCTATGGGAAATGGTGCTTCGACTTATGACCATTTTGAGTTACGGCCATCATTCCAGAACAGATTATGGTCGTAAGTGGAGGCACCACTATACTCATTGTATCACTAAAGACCTAGAAGACTAATGGAAATGTATATTAGGAAAGCAAATGTATATTTTGGCAGCAGGCTGTGCTGCCCTAACACACTTTTGCTTTTCATTAGTCTTTTAGGTCTTTAAAGTGATGCTGTGACTACACGCTACCCTAATACACATTTTAATCCTTTATTTTTTACTTCCTCGGCCTCTCCAGGGATCCAAAGAAGTAGATAATTTGCCAATATTGTGGCTCTCTTCTTAAGCAACGTCATGATGTTGGCAAATCAGATCAAGGCTTGCTTTTGGTCCATTTCCAGCAGATACAAAACAAGTAATAAAGTAGTCTATGCGCATATCCATAAAACTTAAAATGCACAACACAAAAGGAAAAAAGGACTAGGAGTGAAGTGGAAAGAAGTAAACAGAGGCACTAGTTTTAGTCAAAACATTTTTATAATAACCAGACAAATTGGAAACAGTTCAAGGAGGAACATTTATATTTTACAAGTGATTCACTTGGAATTAGCAGATGTACTGAATCAATGAGACTTCCGCAGAGGTTGACTTAATACATCACCTCCACATTCAGCATTGCCTCCAATCTCTGTCTCGTGTAACAAGGGTGGCAGTAATCTGACCTAGCCATGATGGCAACCGATGTATAAATGCCTGAAAATACTATAAAAAAAACCCTGTCCCGAATTTTTTCAGAAACTATACAAAGGAAATAACGTAAAGAAAGAATGTATAGAAAAATATATAAATGATAATTTAAAAACTAAATTATCGGAAAATGATAAAAGAATATTAGAAGAAGAGATCAATGAACAAGAGATTGCTGAAGTCATAAATAAATTAAAAAATGGTAAAACACCAGGTCCTGACGGATTGGGTCCAGAATATTATAAACACTTTAGCACCATTTTGATACCTAAGCTAAAAATAATTTATAATAAGATAATGGAAGGAGAGACAATACCAGCTTCATGGAAGCATTCATTAACGATTCTCATTTTAAAACCCAATAAGGATCAAACAGATCCGGGATCCTATAGACCTATATCTTTAATAAACCAAGATGCTAAGATTTTTACCGCTATATTGGCAAATAGATTAAATAGATTTATAGTAAATTATATTAAAGAAGACCAATGTGGTTTCATTAAGGGTAGACAAATGGACAATTTAACTAGACGAGTTTTAAATATTATACATGAAATAGAAAAAGAAAAAAGAAAAGCAATGATTTTATCATTGGATATATTTAAAGCCTTTGATTGTGTTGAATGGTCAACACTAAAACTTCTTATAAGAGGTTGGGGATTTGGTAAAAAGTTTAGAGGTGTTATAGATCAATTATACTTAGATAATACTTCAGAAATAATAGTTAATGATGGTATAACGGAAAAGATCTTTCTAGGCCGAGGTACTAGACAAGGCTGCCCACTTTCACCAATATTGTTTTGCATGATTATAGAATTATTAGCTAACGCAATAAGAAATGATAAATTAATTAAAGGAACAGGTAAAAATGAAATGATTAAAATTAATTTGTTTGCTGATGATTCCTTACTGACTATTAAAAATCCATTAGAGAGTATGGAAAACATTAAAAACCATTTAGAAAAATTTGGGGAAATAACAGGTTTAAGGATTAATTGGCAAAAATCACAAATGATGATGTTTAACTATAATATACAGGAGCAAGACATGTTTGTGAATAAATATAGCGTTAAAATGTGTAATCTTATCAAATATTTAGGTATAAACATAATTAGAACAACTCAAAAATTAAAAGAGAAAAATTTTAATAAATTAAAAAATGACATTAAAGATAAATTGCAAGAGTACGCCAAATTGAAACTATCATGGTTTGGGAGAATCGCTTTAATTAAGATGAAAATATTACCGAAGATCACTTTTTTATTTAGGATGCTCCCAATACGATTAGAAGAAGAGGATTTTAAATATTGGCAGGGATTAATTAATGGATTTTGTAATCAAGGCAAAAAATCTAGAATAAATAAAAGATATTGGTATAAGGCTCAAAAAAAAGGAGGTTTAGGTATGCCCAATGTTAAAAATTATTATATAGCAAATCAATTAAGAGTTATTGGAGATATTATATTCAATAAAGAAAAATTAATTTGGTGGGAGATGGAATCTTCAGAAATAAATGGAAATGCTGAAGGATACTTGTTTAATATACTAAAGAGAAGTTCAATAAATCAGATTAAAAACCCCTTTTTAAGAAACCTGTTAAATATTTGGAATAAATATAAAGAGAAGTTTTGTCCCTTAACTTCACCATTAAAACTAGTGACTGAGACAGAAAACTTTCCTACAAATTTAAAGGATTTAGTAGAATTATTTAAGAATAAAAGGGTTGCAAGATTGAAGGACTGGATGGGTAACATGAGATCGAAGGAGTTGATTATGTCTAAACTGCAATCTAATAAACTATCATGGTATAATCTTATTCAGTTAGACACCTGGACAAAGGATTGGTTGAAAACTAATGGTAAATGTAGAGAACTTACTAAGTACGAACAATTTCTGTCATCACATGAAGATATGCAAGATACAACTTTGAAAGGAATAGTAAGTAAAATATATAATATAATTTTGGAACAAGAGGAAAAAGAATGGGGAATAGAAGGTTTAAAATTAATTTGGGAAAACGATTTAAAAACAGATATTAAAATAGAGGATTGGACAAAAATGTGGAGGATGAGAGTGTTAAGATTAATGTCAACAAGAATAAAGGAAAATTTTTTTAAAATCTGTCTAAGGTGGTATTTGACTCCTGTAAAATTGAATATAATAAATCCAACATACTCCAAAGCATGTTGGAAATGTGATGAGGAAATTGGTACGTATTTTCATATGTGGTGGGAATGTAAAGTGGTTAAGAAATTTTGGGAATTGATTTTTAAGGAAATGTGTGATATATTTGGTAAAGATATTGATTTTAATGCCAAAATTGCTTTATTGTCAATTTTTGATAATACAGATCTGGACCATCACTCGAAAGAATTAATCACTAATTTTATGACAGGTGCTAGAATATTAATAGCTAGATTTTGGAAAGACAAGAATGATATTAAAATTGAAGACTGGTATTGTGAAGTATGGGACATTGCATTAAATGATAAATTGACTATGGAACTTAAAATAAAAAGAGGGGAAATAAGATGTAACAATTTCTATGATATTTGGGGTAAATTTGTGGAATTTGTGTTAGTGAAAGGAAGGGGTAAAGCCTCTAAAGAATACTCAATACAATTTTGGAGAGGTAATCTGTAAGAAAAAAATTATTATAGTAAATAGAGTCCCGTGGGTATGGGGTGCACATTAGAATTTACTTTATAATAAGCACTATTATTTGTATTTTTTTGTATTTTTGTTGTTATGTATGTGTTCTTTTGTGTATTTTTTTTGTATAAAATAAAAATTAAGTTAAAAAAAAAAAAAACCCTGTCCCTTAGGACTCGACTCTGCAAGAAGCAGCCTCTGTACCCGTGGTCTATGCCACTGCTTACTATTCTTTGGTGGTTCGAGGGGGTATGAAGAAAGGCGAGTCTGTGCTCATTCATTCAGGCTGGTGTGGGCCTAAAAAAAAAAAACCCTGTCCCTTTCTTCAGGACTCTGCAAGAAGCAGCCTCTGTACCCGTGGTCTATGCCACTGCTTACTATTCTTTGGTGGTTCGAGGGGGTATGAAGAAAGGCGAGTCTGTGCTCATTCATTCAGGCTCAGGCGGTGTGGGCCAAGCAGCCATTGCTATTGCCCTAAGCATGGGCTGCCGGGTCTTCACTACTGTAGGTAAGTATAGCGACATTCTTTTCTTCTGGCCACTCTGGACCACAGCTTCTGTTTTAAGAACTCTTTCTCCCCTTGTCAGTGTTTCGGCACTAAGAATGCAGAAAAGAAGCAAAGTTTTGAGGGACAGCTTTTCATGACAGAAGCATTGAACAACAACAACAACAACAAAACATGCATGTCCAGTATGGCAGAGCATGGAAAAGTTCAACGTATTCGCGAAGGCTTTCACGGCCGGGATCTAATGGTTGTTGTGGGGTTTTCGGGCTTCTTGGCCGTGTTCTGAAAGTGGTTCTTCCTAACATTTCACTAGTCTCTGTGGCTGGCATCTTCAGAGGACAGCAAACTGTGCTCATGTGATGAAGATGCCGGCCACAGAGACTGGCGAAACGTTAGGAAAAACCACTTTCAGAACACGGCCAAGAAGCCCGAAAAACCCACAACAACCATGGAAAAGTTACTTTTTCTGGACAAAAAAAGAAACACCCAACCAAATTGCCTAGCAGCTCTACTCACTGGGTAACTCTGGGGGTTATTCTCCAGAAAAATAATATGTTGAAGCAATTAAACATGTGCACACTAGATTCCACAGAGATAAAAATAGGGAGTGGCCGTGTTTCCTTTTTCTTCAGTTCATTGGGGAAGGATTTCTGCATTCTTTCAGAAACTGTTAACTATACCTTTGTTAGGGCACTGGTGAATCAGCATTGTTTTAGTTTAGATCTCTGTGAAAGAAAGTTGTCCATCGAATGTGGAGATTTTACAGAAACATAATGCTTATTTTCTAATTTCAGGTTCTAAAGAGAAGCGTGAATATCTCCAAAAAAGATTCCCCCAACTGGATGCAAACAGCTTTGCCAGTTCTAGAAATACCTCCTTTGAACAACATGTGCTGCAAATCACTAATGGCAGAGGTAAGTGTGATGACCGAAGTCCAGCAAGAACACTTCCCTCCCTGCCCCCCCCCCAGTGCTTAAGAAGATTGCCTTAGAAGACTTGCTAGGAAAACAGCAGCAGGACCCTTGTATGAATAGTGACGCATAATTGTGTTGATCATTCCTGTAGGTGTTGACCTGGTGTTGAACTCCTTGTCAGAAGAGAAGCTCCAGGCCAGTCTGCGTTGCCTGGCTCGACATGGGCGCTTCCTGGAAATAGGAAAATATGACCTATCCAACAACACACCCCTTGGTAAGATTTGTTTATTCTCCCCCCCTCCTTACTATTGATGTGCACAGTCCTTCAAAATTTCACTGGGCACATATTTCAGGATTACTTGCACACAGGTTTGACTTCCCCAAACACTCAAGACCTCACACTTTTACAGGTCAGATGGGCCCCAGTTCTCAGCTTTTGGTGACATTTCTGAATCAGGAGTTCCACTCCTTTCATAGTTACATTTTTAAATGTAATGACAATATGTACCAGAAAGAAAGAAAGAAAGAAAGAAAGAAAGAAAGAAAGAAAGAAAGAAAGAAAGAAAGAAAGAAAGAAAAAGTGGGAAAACAAAGCTGAGTTTCATTGTTCTCCTGATCCAGAGTCTGTTAAGATTTTTAAAGGGCTAGTTCAGTGGTTTTCTCCTTGAGAGTAAAATATTCTAGCATGTTACAGAAGTATCAAGTACACCACGTTGTGCTAAACATCCTGGTCCTCCCTACTTACTCATAGTGTCCACATTATGTACCTATCTAACTGGAACATGTGGGTAAAGGAATGGTGATGCCATCATGGAGCCAAAGGACAGCTCACTATCCATGCTACAATGACAACTGCTGCTTCTACAAACTGTTGCTTAAGATATATTTATTGCTTTCAAATTTCCAAAACACATAGACATTATTTCAATAGTCCTTAACCATAGCCTTCCAAGGTAACTCAGTATTTCTACACCCATTTTGCAAATGGGAAAATAGAGGCTGAAAGAGTCATTTACTCTAATGCGGTGGTCCCCAACCTTAGGTCCCAAGATGTTCTAGGATTACAACTCCCAGAAATCCTGGCCAGTACAACTAGTGGTGAAGGCTTCTGCGAGTTTTAGTCCAAGAAATTCTGGGGACCCAAGGTTAAGAACCACTGCTTTTAAACATAACTGCTTAGTTAACATGCTTCTGTTTTGACTGTGCCTCTGTTATGTTTTTTTAGTCATCACTCAATATACGTGAATTGCTTTTAAAGAGCAAGAGATGTTTGTTGGTAACGAAGGCCATCCTTGTCTTGCTTCTTCTAGGAATGGCCCTTTTCCTGAAGAACGTGGCTTTCCATGGGATCCTCTTAGATGCCATTTTTGAAGAAGGAAACAATGAGTGGGAAATTGTGTCAGACTTGTTGAAGAATGGCATAAAAGACGGTGTAGTAAAACCTCTGAAGACTACTGTTTTCAAAAGAGAAGAGGTAGAAGCCGCTTTCAGATATATGGCCCAAGGAAAGCACATTGGAAAAGTTGTGATTGAGGTATGACTGGTAGATTTTTAGACTCTTATTTCTGTACTAAACATACTATGTATGCACACATCACAGAAGATATGCTAGTAGTATTAGTAATACTTGCATTATAAAATGGAGGGAAGGGCTAAAAATAGGCATGTGCACTGTCCCTGGACAAATGTGCAAAAGTGGACCAAATCAGGAGTCTTTTATCTGATTCTGACGTGACCATACAGTGGAAAAAGGAAACGCTGTTGACACTCAGGGCTGAATGACGTGATAACGAAATCTTTCATATCCCATTACTGTAGTATTAATAGGGTTAAAATTGCCAGCAATTTGGACTGAAGAAAGGGAAAATAAAAAAATAATTTAATAGACTAAGCTGCTAGCATTAAAGGAGACAGAAAATGACAGCTGTACATCCCAATAAAGCCCAGTGTCTCCCCTGAACACTCCAACTATTGAGACTGTAGGGAGGGATCAATCTGAGATCACTCCATAGTACCGTATGTACATCCCCTGGAAGCCACTCTGCCTGCCCTTTTGCTGAGGTGTAGAGTCTAGAGGAGGACTCTTGGCTGCTGCTCAAATAGCCTTTTCACATTCTGGAATATTCTTCTTTTCTATTTTTTTCCTGTCACTCAGTTTACTAAATTTTACAGAAACATTATTATACTATTAGACATGGGTGTTTGTGTTTACGAAAGGATGATTGCTGGATGGACTTCAAGTGTAGAGACCACACAGTTAGGATGCAGCATTGCATACACACACTCTAGGCCATAGCCATTTGGGGTTTTCTCCATTTTAGGACTATTTCTTTCCTCTAACAGGCATCTAGAAATGCACAGATAATGTCATGGATCTGGGGTCACAGCAAGTCAGAATGTCTTCTAAAGAGTACAGAGCGGGTCACCTGTGATCTGTGTGCTCTTCATTTGTGTACAAATTGGATCTAGCACTTTTATGCCTCTGTAATAAATATTACTTTTTTTTAACAATACTAGTACTTATTCCTAGGTACATCAGTATCCCATGTTTCCATAAAAATGGCTAAGGTAAAGATTAATGATAAAACCCACAATGGAAAATACCCAGTCCTTATACCATAAACTATAACACAATAAAATCATATTTTAAAATGAGAAGAACAAGTTAAAAAAATAGATAAGGCAATTAATAAATAATCAGATTAAAGCTACACACTAAAACACTGAACAGTAAAGATACACAAACCGGCTCAACAGACCAAACCTCTGATTAAAGCAAAATGTTTGATTTGGAATGTGGAAATGTGGGGTGAAGGGCTGGATGAGTTCCCCTTGGTATGGAATTCCAGAGTCACTCTGTAGCTGTGGATTGAGGTTGATCTGTTTTAACTAGAGCTGAGTTGTGGGTCATTTACATTAGATATCTGGGAATCAGTATGACACCCACCGTTATGGAGGTTCTATGTCTGAGCTGTCCAAGTTGCCACACTTTGAAAAGAGATTAACTGTCTCACTAGAACATAACACAGTATTAAACGTATGTACGGCAGAAATCACCAGATATCTCTAACTGGCACAAATGGTTCCAGCAGAACTATGTACTACTTGTGTCTGCTTAATGTTATTGTCTTGTCTTTGTATGACCAAAATGTGGAAATGATATACTGTATTTATTCTTTGGTATTTTAGAAAAAAATATTTCTTAAAAGAATTATCTTGGGATGCAACACTGGGAAAGCAACACTGACACATTGGTTTCTTGTGAGCAACACCAATGCCTAGGAATAACCCACAATTATAAAAACTAAGTGTAGGCTTCAAGTCTACCAGCTGTTATCATGTTGGATGAATTGTCTGCACTGTTGTTTGCAGGTCCAAGAAGAAGAAAAGCAAAACCCCACCAAGGAAGCTAAAGAAACCCAGATTCTTGCCATCTCTCGAACTTCTTGCCCACCAAATAAATCATATATCATCACAGGAGGCCTGGGTGGATTTGGGTTGGAACTGGCTCAATGGCTGGTGGAAAGAGGAGCAAAAAAGTTGGTGCTGACATCTCGTTCTGGCATTCGAACAGGTAAGCTAAGAGTGAAAAACAATAAGAACAACTGAGCCTGTGATCATACATGATGCCGCAAAATTCTGGACTCAGGCTTTTAACATTGTCCTTGATAAATCATATTTTTCTGAAGATTATGGAAGGACAGAGCAACTTCAAAATGTAGACTAAATACTGAAAGAAATTAGCGAGGTTAGAAGTGTTTGTGAAAGCAATGTGGCAATAAGCAAGATGAAAGCAAACAGCAGGCATTTTGAACCTGTATGTATCTGCAGCTGTGTGTCATTTTGGATGTATTATCTGTGTCGATACAACCTAATCTCAGAGGAAAAAAGTAGGAACATAGAGCCAACATATCAATAGGATCATAAAATGAACATTTACTATAACTGATCTTTGCCATATTTATTTTAATTACAAGGCAGTTTTCTGCTGTTTCTGTTTAAATGCTACTTTAACACAATGGAAGAATGAGAACATAAAAAAGTCCCTATACTTTTTACAGCCTAAATACAGTGGGAGGTACAGCTTTAGAAGTGTATATAGTATGCAATGGATGTCACTGTATATTTCCTTGATTTGCAGGTTACCAGGCTAAAAGGGTTCAAGAGTGGAAACATCTTGGAATCAAAGTTCTTGTCTCAACCACTGATGTTGCTACCTTGGAGGGAGCACAACACTTAATAGAAGAAGCCTCTCAGCTTGGGCCAGTTGGGGGCATCTTCAACTTGGCTATGGTGAGTGACAGGTGCTTAGGATCAAGATGAATGTGATGGTTTCTTCTCAACTTTATCATATGCCTCCAATGAACTGGCTAAAAATCATAAGGATGAAGGTTTGCGGATTTTTTAAAACCACAAATATATAATTCTCCATTCTGGGAATTCTGCCTGATGGTCATCTTATAGATACTTAAATGTGGTTCACTTGGGAGGAAGACCTAAACTAGAAGGTTTTTGAAGCCTAACTAGGCCTAGCTGCACTATTCTGTCTAACTATAAACTGGTAGGGTAGCATTATTTTGTTTTCTTGAAGTGTGGAATTGAAATTATGCTGTAAACTTCCTGAGTCAAACAGAGAAACAGTAGTCATAGAATGACTTTCCACTCTGGTCATCGGAAGGTGAAGGAGAAAGGCTCCAGGTGATCTGAGGAGATTCGTATTCAATGAGATATTAGTGGTCATGCTGTAAATGTGTAAACAAGCAAAATAGAAGGAGGACGTGTGTGACCTTCATCAAGCAGAAGTTATCGCTTATATTTCAGGGTTGTCCTATCTAGATTTCTTAAGAGCCAGTTAGACTTGAGGCTATTTTTAAAAACGCAGATAGTAGCTGTGGGGGAGGCTGCTAATTATCAGCTTTGGAACAGGTGTTAAGGGAGAATTTGACTCCTCCTTCCTGCTCTAGAATTGGTCCATAATCTACCATTTGAGAAAGAATCCATTCAATCAGTTATTTTGAAGTGGAAGCAAAATACTTACGTTGACCTGTATGTAAATATGAAAATTGTGATTGTGCATGTATGCTTATTTATCACCTTTCTTTTTATATAAGGGACTCAAAGCAGTTCACAACATTTTTTTAAAAAAAGAATACCAAACATAATAAATCACAAATCGTTGCTGTTTCAAACAGGTCTTGAAGGATGCTATGCTGGAAAACCAGACTCCAGAGCTTTTCTGTGAAGTCAACAAACCCAAGTATTCAGGCACCCTTAATCTTGACCAGTAAGTGCAGAATAAATGAGCTAGATAGTACTGATGATGAGCATGGAGGTCATCTTACTGAAAATGAACAATGAATGATCTCATTCCTTGTGCTCTTTGTTCTAGAGTAACCCGTCAAAAGTGTCCTGAACTGGACCATTTCGTAGTCTTTTCCTCAGTAAGCTGTGGAAGAGGTAACGCTGGGCAGAGTAACTATGGGTTTGCCAATTCTACCATGGAGCGCATCTGTGAACAGCGACAGCACGATGGACTCCCAGGTAACGATGCAGTCCTTCTAGTCTTGATGTTTTCTAAAGAAATAGATAGGAACAAATTTGCACAGAATTCAGCGCATGCAAGCCAGTGCCTCCTGTGCACCATCAAATCCTTGGACTCATAACTGGTAGTGTTTTCCACACAGTTTTCTACATCTTATTACAATTTCTACGATCATACATGCTACAAGAATAACCATCATGCCTTCTTTGTATGTTCCCCAGGCCTAGCTGTACAATGGGGGGCTGTTGGTGATGTGGGCGTCGTCTTGGAAACCATGGGCAGTAATGACACTGTGGTTGGAGGAACTCTACCCCAGCGGATCAGCTCATGTCTAGACGTTCTGGATCATTTTCTCAATCAGCCTCACCCTGTCATGTCCAGTTTCGTTTTGGCAGAAAAGGTGTTGACAAAAAGTGATGGGGGCAACCAGAAGGACCTTGTGGAAGCAGTTGCTCACATTCTTGGTAAATATCACTGTGGATTATCAGTCATAAGTATCTACTATGATATTCTCTTAAGAATCTGCACACAAACTCCAAAGTTTTCTACTGTGACAAATTCCTCTCATCACAGCAGTGGGAATACATACGAGGGTACCATCCTTATCATAGGGGGGAAATATGTACAGTGCATTTATTTCCTTAACTTTAAGTTTGAAGGAGCCCCCTGTATGTTTCCTATAATTAATTATTGTTCATTCGATCCATTGCAGGAGTTCTGTGATTATGTTTTGCTGTTTCTTACTTTGCTGTGCCTCCTATATATATAGTAGTAGATGAATAGAACTGTTTTGAAAGAACTAAGGGTGGCTACACAGAACTGAGGAGCATTTGGAAAACATGCAAGGGATTTATATAGATCATGGGGCTAAGTAGCAGATGAGGAAATCTGGATGTATTACAGCACATGGGATTAAGTGTGGGAAGAAATTAGGTCAGAGGAGTGAACAGGACTGTCTTGTGGGATTTTAAAGGTGTGAACCTGTTACCTCCCTTGTATATGAGACATGGAAGAGGACAGAAAGCATAAAAGAGACATCAACAAGCATTTCCAAAGTAGATACAATGTTGCAGATTTATGGGCAGGGAAGGGAGATGTTTGGAGGGCAATGAATGGTCACAGAAAGACAAAAGACAGGCTTTCTTTGAAGAGTAAAAAAAAACAGGCTTGCTTTAAAGAAAGTAATGGAGTGACAGTCCTCCAGAAAGGGACATCTTGTCATGTATCTCCAAGGAATTAACATACAGTTTTGTAAGGTATGTTCAGAGTATCTCTGCATCACAAAACCACAAACCTCTTCTGTTTGTCCCGGTCCTGAGTGCTCTCAGTAAACATTCACTCAAGATTTCTGAGACTAGTCTCCTGACATAAGTTTTCAAATCACCTTCACAGCTGGGGCAATCTGAACTTTTGACCCTGTCACTCAGGATCCAATTAGCTGACTCTCAGGGGGAGAACTGTTAGCCTCCTTCCTGGCCAAGCAGCATTTGTACTTACAAGGAGATTCTGTGTCTGGTTGTAAAAACATTTTAAAATATATTTTAAAAATAATAGAGAGCAAATATTCTGAACCTCACTTATTTAAACTGTGAAATTACTGCATTTTCCCTTGTGGCTGAGGATGGTCTTAATGTTAACAGAGCTTTGGTGCCTATATCCTGTTATAGTTTCAACCATTCCACCTGTCTTTTCACTATACAATTTGTTTGATAGTTAAGAGAAAGAAATAACACTCCAGAGATGTTATGTGCCGTTAAGTCATTCTGATTTGTGGTGACTACAGCAGCGCACTTTTATATGAGTTAATGGCCTCCAAATTGTGCAGCAATATTGGGCCATTGCCTGGCATTTGAATAATGGATACAGAAGCAGAATATCCCACACTCATAAAACAGGAGGTTTTTTTTCTCAAGATAGTTTTGTGGATACACAGATTATGAGTCAGGGACTACTAGCAGGTGTCCATTCACATTCAGATGGCTGTCAGGGTCACAGCTCACTAGTTGTCTCCTCATACTCCTGCCCTGCTCAAGAGCCATACCAGCCCTTTTAAATTATTGTCAGCACTAGCAGCTTCCAAATGGAGGTGGGAGGCAGGAGTATCTTAGAGAGTAAAGCTGTAGTATAGAAAGAGAAGGTGAAAGAGGAAACAGCTGGCAAGCAGAGTGGAGAGCTGTGTGAAAGGAGCAGAAAGAATGGGAAGAAAGATGGCAAAAGATGTTCCTCCTTTTCCGCCAAGCAGCCCCAGATTAACCATTTAGCAAAATACAGTAAGCACATATATAAGGGCATCAACAAGGGAAGGGAATACCACAGTTTTTTCAGTGCTGGATTTACCATGGACCATGGTGCAAATGATGCATCCTCCTTAACAATCCACATCCATCCATCCAAATCCATCCACTTTCTCCTCCCCCTCCTCAAGAGCCCCAAGAAATCACCTCCCTACCTAAAATGATTGAGTATAAACCAGCAAAAACTAACAAGTATAGACTCACCCAAAGAGAAGACTCATGTTTTGAGTTAAATAATAATCATCATCACTGCTTGGTTTTTTAAAAATTATTTTTACTTCTGTATTTTGGGATGCTGCGTGTGCATAAGGATAAAAAGAGCTGCTGGTCTTTTAGACCCATGGCATCTGCACTATATGTGCAAGCCAAATAAATAACAGCCACTGTTAAAAAAATCCCCCCAAAAGGCTTTTAAGTTCTTGTTTGAGCATATTATATGGTTTTTTCAAGGCATAGAAGCAGCCATGTGTTATATTTGTAGGAGGCACCATAATCTTTTCAGTGCTTAGGGTCTCTAAAAGTCTTGATCTGGCCTTGCCCCCAAGCTAGGGAGTATCTGCTGACTGTCCATCTGCTCCATCTCAAAACATCCACCTGGCATTGGCCAGTGGTGTGCATGCATGTGTATTCCCTTGTGGGTAATGTAGGAGAGAAACCGAACTAACATAATCAGAAGAAAGAGACATGAGGAGGAGAGGGAAACTGGTGGCTCCTTTTTTCTGAGGGAAAAAGACCAGATTTAGGACTAGAGGTAATTAGAATGAGGGACAAAAATTAATATTAACAAATAGAAATAATTAAAAGCTGAGAAAAAAAGAAGAGGAGGCTAAAAGTAGGAAGCTGTTATAGGAAGAAGTGAAGCTAAAAAGAGCAGGGGGAAATGAAAAACTTTTCACTTTTCAGGGGGTAGGATGCAAATTAACTGTGAAAAGCAAAAAAAAAAAAATGCCAGGAGATAGGTAAACATAAACATAAGAAGTATGATTTTCTTGTCTGCCTTCTTTCCTCTACCATTCCGAAAAGCTGACCACATTTGCATAGGGCACTTCAGCATTTTGGAAATGAATGGCAGTAACTAGCAGGCTGGCATCTCCCCTCCAGGGGCATTCCACAGGTGCATTTGGATGCTTTCAGTTCCATTGTCATTGAAGAGAAGGTTTTCAGTATGCCCAAAACCTTTAAAAATGTGCTTAATCTTGTTTATGATTTGCTGAAATATGAAAGCTTCAAATTGTAGTTTGGAGAGTCCTTGAGCAAAACATCATTACCATTAGCCACAGTTTCACATTCTACTATAACATGAAACTGCAGTTAATGTAAAATGAAAGCACATGTTTCCAGTCTCCTCACAGCCACATCAATAGTGGAGAGTGCAGTGCACACAAGTCTGCACATGGCTGACCCTTGCACCTCTGGCTCAGTCTTTTCACCTGAGCACAGCCAATTAGTGAATATTTACCACAGTGACTATTAGATAATCAAACACTGCTTGAATGTTCTGGCTAACAAAGTGGCTGTCTATCTGATCTCATTTCAAAATTGCTGCTTTGTTTACTTTCACAATATAATTATCATTCCTGTTTAATAAGTCAGCAATCTGGGGATTTGTTTGAGCGTTCCATTTTTCTTGCATTATACAGATCATTTCCAAATACTATCATAAGTCACCATCTCCTTAGATAACCCAAAAAGAAAGCTTCATTACATTCTACCTCAATGTTCCATAATGTTCTTTCCTTATATGAGGATTAGAGATAGGTCTCATTATGCCCACCAGCACAGGTGGACATAATGAGACCTAGGTCCCCCAGGGCTGGACCATCTACTCACATTCTGCTGTTGCCACGAGTTACAAGCTCCCTTCCTATCGCTCCAGAGCTTGCAATGGATTAGCTACTCTTCGACCATTCTCCCACCTCCTGCCAGGAGTGGCTTGCGGACCGCAAGCTCCAGAGTGATAGGAAGGGAGCACGGAGCCCACTTCAACAGTGGAAGGTGAGTGGACAGTCCGTTCCCAGGGGGCTGGACCCTCGTTATGTCCACCTTTGTGGGGGTATTCATATACCCATCTCTAATGAGCATACAACCCTTCTTTCCCAGGAGCAAATGCAGAGTATGTCCCCCCAAACATTATTTCTTCCAGCTTTTTAGATTTATTCTCTTGCATCTCTTGCCTTCAAACTTTAAAAGACAAATACAGAGCTTGGAAGCTTAATTTTTTTCCATCTACAAAAAGCCTATGCTAGATTCTAAGAGTTATAATACAAAAAGTAACGTTTCCAAGCTGCTTTATTATTTCAAACGGTTGGTTGGTTGGTTGGTTGGTTGGTTGGTTGGTTGATTGGTTGGTTGGTTGGTTGATTGATTGGTTGGTTGATTGATTGATTGATTGATTGATTGATTGATAATCCCTGGCCTGGGCTGGGACGGTTCACAACAAGACTAAAAATGGGTAGAGATAAGAACAGACAAAAAGTTGTACTGTTAAAGTACAGTTGAACAAATTACAATAGTACTAAATGCCAGCGAATTAAAGCAAGATTTAAAGCACATAAATAAAAAGAACAGAGCCTCTCTCTGTAGCTGAAAGTACAATTGGACAAAGAGGCAAATTATACTTCGTTTTTAAAGTCAGAGTAGACTTAATAGCACACAATAATTACCATTATAAGCCACCTGAACTCCCAGTTTTTGGCAGAAAGAAGAGAAACCAAATCAAAATAAAGGTATAAATATTGTAACAAATAGGAGAAACATTTAGGAAGAGTTTGAGTATTTGGCTGAGGGTACTTCGATAATGGTTTTATAATCAGATGTATTACATTAAATGTCATTAAACAAACACACATTATCTCCTTCCCCCATGACATTGAGGGTAGTTTGATCTATAAAAGTCTGTGTATTGTTTAGCTTGCGTTTCTTCTCCACAGGGGTCCGTGATGTGAATAGCCTGAATGCTGACACTAGCCTGGCCGACCTGGGTTTGGATTCCTTGATGGGGGTAGAAGTACGTCAGACCCTGGAAAGGGACTATGACCTCGTCATGACAATGAGAGATGTCAGAGCACTTACCATTAACAAGCTGCGGGAATTTTCTTCCAGATCCAGCTCCTCAGACAGTAAGTGTGTCAAGCCAGTCAGAGTCTGCCCTACTTCAGATCTGTAACACCAGAGAAAAGGGGATATTAGTATCTGGCAGAACTGGGAATGAGGTCGACTCCCACAGTGTGCAGCTAAGCTTCTCCATTGTATCCATCATCCTGTTAGCATCTGCAAGAAGGATTTCTCATTAGTGAAGCCAATCCCTCATTTCTGCTTGATCCTCCAGAGCCAGCTGGGTTTGAAATGCTTCAATATCCTCACCATTGTTATAGATCAGAAATGGAAATATGTGATATGTGAAGCAGAACTTGGATATTGGGATTGTAAGCAGGACTCTCTGGCTATCTGTTCATAGACGTGACATCAGAGCTCCATGGTGATGAGCCCTTTAGGGTATATTTAAACTTTGAAGCAGCCATATTATTCTATTGATTTAAATGGGGCAACAGCATTGGAGAGCTTCCTCTTGGGCTGTTACTAGCAGCTTGGGTAAGAGCAGTGTAGACAAGGTGCATGGCATAAGAGGAGAGGGCATATTCCCAAACTTAGCGCCAGGGCCTGAATCTGAATTGCAGCTCAGTGCTTACTTTTGTCAAAGGAGAAACTACCTCAGAGCATTTTGTTCACTTTTCAGTAGCATGGCTACTTTGGCCCTTCATTCCCTGGAGGTTATAGCTTCTTAGGCCAAACCAGTCTATAATCCTCTTTTAGTTCAACCTACTCACTGGAAGGAATGTGGCAGGAACTCTCTTTCAAGTATGCATCTTCCTGTCTTTTTAGCATCTTCCCAAGAGTCGAAAGGTAATCAGTCGGAGCAGCCCAAAGTGGACTTCAGTGTACTCTTGGTTAATCCAGATGGGCCCACTATTGTACAGCTGAACGATGTGAGGAGTATGGAGCCTGCTCTTTTCCTCATTCACCCCCTTGAGGGATCTGTTACAGTCTTCAATACTCTGGCCTCTAAGCTCCACACGCCAGTCTATGGACTTCAGTTCACCAAAGGTAACTCTGTTACATGCAGCTCTTTAGTCCAATGCAAAATGGTTCACAACCTTGGCAGTCCTCAGATGTTCTTGTATTAAAACTCCCAGAAACCTTCATCACTAGCTGTGCATTGCCAGGATTTCTGGGAATTGTAGTCCAAGAACATCTGGGGGCTCAAGGTTGGAAAGCACTGGTGTAATGTAACAAGTAGTGCATCATTCAGTATAGCTGGAATCAATTTAGACATTTTAAATTGTTAAATAGGAGCATGTTTTGTCCATTTATACATGCACAGGGAAATGTTCAAAACTGAAGATAAGTAGGTATATGACGATGACTGAAATCCTGTTGCTTAGTCTAGCAACTAGAATAGGCCCATTGAATAAACAGAATGTACAGAGGAGCTGACTCACCAAATCCCCAGTGATTCAATAGGTCTACATTAGCTGTCACTATTGGATGTCAGCCAATTTCAAAATTGTAAACTTTAAAGTAGTGGTCTCCAGATGTTCTTGGACTTCAACTTCCAGAAATCCTGGCCAGCAGAGGTGGTGTCAAAGGCTTCTGGGAGTTGCAGTCCAAGAACATCTGGAGGCCCAAGGTTGGGGACCACTGCTGTAAAGCACAGATGTGTGGGATTCCTGGAAGAGAGGTAGTATTAGCCTTTGAAAGTTAATTTTGAAGATCTTGATTGTGGTGCTATTTGAGTATTAGCTGTCTTTAGCAACTAACCATATTATATATACAGACAAACTGCCTTTCTTTTGAAGTTGATTGCAAACCATTCTGTTAGTGCTTCCTCCCTCTCTCCCTCCCCCCCTCCCAAATCTCAAAAGCAAAATGTTGGGACTGAATTTACACATAGCTGCCTACCACTATTACAAATCTCCTAGTACCTATTCCTCCAGTAGCAGCAGATCTGTTAATAAAAAGTCTCTTCACATTCTTACAAAAAAGAAAAAGAAAAAAAGAACAAGAAATAAATAAAATTCCGAAGTATAAAAGCACCACAATTTGGAAATAGAGACAATTTTTCAATGATGGATTTATGAACTTCTCTAATTTTATTTCAGTTCTAACATTTGGGAAAGTGTGGAAAGCAGAACTTGAGCTCCTGATTTTCTGCAGGGTCACTCTTTTCCTAACGTTGTTTCTTCTTACCAGATGCTCCCCTGGACAGCATACAGAGCCTGGCATCCTATTACATTGACTGTATCAAGCAGGTACAGCCAGAAGGCCCCTACCGTATTTCTGGATACTCCTTTGGTGCCTGTGTCGCCTTCGAAATGTGTTGTCAGCTCCAAGCTCAACAGAATCCCTCCCATTTGCCTAACAGCCTCATCTTGCTGGATGGCTCTCATTCCTATGTCGCAGCACACACACAGGTAAGGTGTTCTCTCTCAGTCTAGGTCCATCCATCTCAAAACAAGCCTATAGGAATAGCAGGTGAACAGCTTGCAGGCTGAGAAAAGCATTCACATGTATTTTCTTGCTTGCCTGTAGAACAATCCATTGTACAGATGTCATCACATGACCTTTTTAATAATGCAAACTACAGACCTAACCTGCCAAAACCACCAAGTGTCATATCACTCTGCCATGATATACAATCCACAATTATCTGTCTGAAGATCAGTCATTTGTTTTTCTTACTTTCTTTTATTTTGGTCCTCTTGTTGCTTTAGACATCTTTAGATCCCCAGCATGGTGCTCCAATGCATGGTGTTTCTAAGATCCTCTCAAGAGCAACAAATACCTTATCATCCATCATCTTTTTCCCAGAGCTACAGGGCCAAGCTAACTCCAGGAAATGAGGCAGAAGCAGAGACTGAAGCATTGTGCGCCTTTGTGCAGCTGTTCACTGGCATGGAGTACAATAAGGTAATGTTTTTCCACACTTACTTTGAGTTGCCAGGAAACTTACTATGCTCACCATAGCTTCCCTCTGGAAGCCGCTCTCTGTCTTGTAGTAAAACTGTCCTATTTTGAACCCTTGCAGTTGCTGGAGGTTCTCCTGCCTCTGCCAAATCTGGAAGCTCGTGTGAGAGCCGCTGTGGACCTCATAACCCAGAATCACAAAGGCATCAGCTGTGAGGCCCTCACCTTTGCTGCTACTTCCTTTTACCACAAACTGAAGGCTGCAGACAAGTATTTACCAGAGTGCAAGTATCACGGCAATGTGACGCTACTGAAAGCAAAGACCTGTAATGAATTTGGAGAAGGTCTCGGAGGGGACTACAAACTTTCAGAGGTCAGTCACATTCACATAAGAAACTCCAACTTTTCTTATAGATATATCTGGGATTTATGCACCAAAGCAATGGTAGGGAAGCCATGTTCCTCCAAATGTTCTTGGACTTCAGCCCGCCTCATCATCAACCAGCATGACTGGTGATCAAAGAATGATGGGCATTATAATTCTACAACTTCAGGAGGGCCACACTGGCCCCCAATCTTAGAACAATGCAGGCTGCAATTCTACCTCTAGTTATGAGAGTTTAGCTCTTCAAACAAATAACACTAGTCAATAGTAAATCTCTGTTTGCCATTGAACATTAAATTTCCTTAGAAGTTCTGAAGCTGCCAAGTTTAATTTAATCACGCCAAGAATATTACAGCCTGTTTAAAATGTATACAAAAAAAAGGAACAGCAGAAGATATCAAGTGAAATAGAAACACTGCTGTGTTTTCCAAACTTCATTATCAATTGATTATCAGTTCAAATTATGAACAGAAAGTATTTTCTTTTTTCTTACGATTACTGTTCCTTTGTAGTCCACTCTCATGCTTGTTGTCAACCTGCACTGCAGCTGCAAATATACAGGCTGTCATTCCTAACGTTGATTTTTGTTCGCAAATATCTTCCTGGTCTGTCAAACAAGAAGTACCATGTGAAAATCTAGTTTGTCCAATTGTGGGGAAAATTTCTTCAAAGAAAAGGGGTCTTGAGCCTCACTTAATGTGTTTCAGTGGTCTTGGAAGGAGATGAGGAACATAATTTTTAAAGCAAAATACACTGAATCTCCCAGAGTTATGTTTTGCTGTAGAACTGACATATAGAACTATCACTACCATGTAAGCATGAAGCAGCATGATCACCTGAACAGTTTGTAAGCAGTTTCTGGAAATGTCAGCCACTTAATAGACACAGTTTTATTCCTGCCTTTTCAAAAACTGCTTCCTACCAGTGGGGTAGTTATTTTTTCAGTCAAAAAGTCAAATAAAAAATGGAAACAGAAAAAAAGTTGTATTTTCAGAAAACCTTAATACAGTTCTTGTCAGTAGGTTCCCTCTGTGTAGGTGAAATTAAAAACAAAACTTTTACCATTGCAGAGACATTGGAATTCTGACTGGAGTAAATAAATACAGCGATTTCTATTTAGACCCTAACCTTGCTCCTCAGTACACTCAAATTCTCATCAGAGTTAGAAAATGCTCTGCAACTCACATAATACTTCCCCTGCCCCACCGCAATCCTAGTGATTGAAGCTCACCCTGATACTTCCTTCTCTAATGGCTGACCATGCAAAAGACATATGGAACTAACGTGTGTTGGCCATGTTCTGTCTTCTGTTTCTTTGTGCAGGTCTGTGATGGGAAAGTATTTGTCCATGTTGTTGAAGGGGACCATCGCACCATCCTGGAAGGAGAGGGTGTTGAGTCAATGACTGGAATCATTCACAGCTCACTAGCAGAACCTCGGGATAGCGTTCGAGAGGGCTAGATAAATTCATAAACTCTCCTGGGGTGGCTGGAGAGAATTCAGACCCAATGACAGCCCTAAGGAACTCTTCCTGCAGTCCAAAGTATCATCTGCTCTGCAGCCACATCTAAGAAACTCTACTGACCAGCACCCACCTACCCCATTCAGTACAGTGACATTATTTTTGCACTGTTGCAAGGATATATGCCGGTGGTAACCATTCACACCCTTTGTCAGTGTGACAAAGAAAATTACAAGCAGACATGTCTCTTTGTGTGTGTGTGCGTGTGTATGTATGTATGTTGTGTTATGTATTTTATTGTATTGTTCTGTAGAAGGTATTCCAAAGGCTAAGTGAAACTAACCAAGCCTAGTGAGCATGGAGGGAAGCTACAACTGATTTTGGAGACACTTCTGTCTGTGAAGAGTCAGTGTGTAGCAGTATCAGTAAGTTACGTCTGTTGAGGTTTTTGGAATTATGTTTTTTTAATTTGAACTCTTCTAGATATTTATTGCATTGTTAACTTTCCCTTTTAATATGTCACTGACTAAATGATAGGGACAAAATACTCCATTGTGGAGAATTCTTTTTTTGCCCATGTCAGCTGGTTGCTTAATTTCTATTTTACAAAATTTAAATCCAAATTCATATTCAAAGCCATGTGGTCATTTAGCTTGGAGGACAGCTTCCAGAGACAAGCAAGTCCTTCCTCCTCAGAGGGTGAGACAGCATCTGCTAAGTTGCCAGTCCTTGACTCAGAGCTTTTTGGAAAGGACTGGTCATTCTTAACAGGTATCATGCGAGCTTCTTAGCAGAAGCTGGAGGTAAAAATAAATACCTTCTGCATGCATCTGGGGGGGGTGCAGCTCCCTGGCCTCAATATCATCCTTTTCCCCAAATGCTTTTAATCCAGTTTCTTCATTTCCCTATTTGCATCTTGAAGAATTAACTGTGATTCAGATTTCTTTCTGATACAAACCTGATTTGATCTTTCCATAGCTGAGCTGTTTCTTCCCCTTCCAAAATAATAATAACAACAACAACAACAACAACAACAACAACAACAACAACAACAACAACAACAACAACAACAACAACAACAACAACACTCTGTAACACTAATATCTACCTAAAGCTCCTGTCTAAAAACAAAACAAAACAACAACAAAAATTAGAGTCTGGTTGAAAAAAAACACCTCTTGCCTCTTTTGCATTATATATTTATATATAAATAGTGTGTGTGTGTGTGTGTATGTGTGTGTGTGTATATATATGTGTGTGTGTATATATATGTGTGTGTGTGTATATATGTATATATGTGTGTGTATATATATATATATATATCTGTGTGTGTGCTTGTCTGGAAATCAGTGCATCTTTGCTGTAGCAATGATACAGAGGAGACTCTGAGCAACCAGCGAAAGATAGGACTGCTGAGCCTCCAAAGTGCTTTTTAGAACCCAGTTTCTTTGCTGGGTGATTTTAGCAGCACTGAGGCATAGAAAACAGCACCCACACACATTCCATACTTGCTGGGAGTGATTCAGGTCAGCCAGCCTCTGTGGACAAGCAGCAAGGTGACTGGTTGGAGTTTTTAATTTTAAGGAGAAATTCCTTTCAAATCAGAAACGTTGTGTCATGTTTTCTTTCTTTTTTCTTTCTTTTTTTCATTTTTACATTCCTTGGTGAAATAGCTCTGGGGTGTCCTTTCTTTTGTGGCTCTCCTGGAATTAAACAGAACTTAAATTCTGGACTGGCTTTCCTTGTCTGTTATTTCTACTATCTTTACTGTTTTCTTGGGGTTTCTCTTTCCTTCTGAAGGATACTCTAAAATTGCTTCAAATTATTGTGGTTTAGAGGCTATACAAAGCAAAAAGCCTGGTCTCTGGCTTCTCTTTTCTTAGACACCTCAGGGTAGGTTCAGTCAAGTAAATGAGCTATGTGAGTGGAAATCACGTACTCCGAAGTGTGTTTCTGGTTTCCTTTATGGCCAGGCTGGGCAATGTCTAGCCTTTCAGGGTTTGCTGGACAGCCAAGTTCCATAAACATTGACCATCGGCTAAGTTGGCTAGAACTAATGGGAACTGCAAAGACAACAACTTCTGAAAGGCTCTACATTCCTGCTCTTTTTAAATAATTTTCAGAGCTTATTAAATGAACTCCTTCATTTCTCTTAACAGCTCAGTGGAGATAGGCTACCAAGCAAGGCTGTTGTGAGACTAATCAGAGTGGAATATGATAACTTTTTAAAGCTGCTAAGTATTTATAGGGGGAAAAATTCCAGGGGGCCATATCTGAGTAGTTTTAATAAGCCAGAAACCCAGAATTGCAAATGGAGAGTGGATTTTGTTTGAATGTGAATGTCAAGTTCTATGCAGAAGCTGGTCTGTGTATCAGAATAAATGACCAAAAATAAACCTGAAAATGAGAGTAAAATGTTTCCAACACCAAGACTATTTCTAAGTTGGTTTTGCACCAAAATCTTAAAGTGTGGGATTGTGTTGACCTGTTCTGAAAATCTTAAGGCAATTTTAGACATTACATTAAAAAACACAACTGCACATCTGTCTGCACCATTCCTGCCATGGTGAAGTTTATTCTAAATTTTATTTCTGAATTAAGGCTCTGAAGAGCTCAAATATTCCACAGATTTTCAAAAGACAAGGATAGTGCCCTTCTTTTACATCAACTACAATTAAGATCAGCCAGGCATGGTGCCGAACGGGTGGTAAAGGGGGTGACATTTTGAGCATGAAAGGAAAGTACATTGAAGGTGGGGAAACTATGGGACATGGAGGGTTACTAATAATCATCATGTGCTGTCAAGTCAATTCAGACTTGTAAGGTCCCTTTTCAGGGTTTTCCAAGTAGAGAACACACAGAAGTGGTCTACCATTCCCTTCTTCTTCTGGGGGCATCCTGGGGCTGTGCAGCCTACCTAAGACCACAAAGGTAAGCTGTACTCCCAGGAGACATAGTGGGGAATTGAACACCCAACTTCTGGCTCTGCAGCCAGGTACCTAAACCCCTGAGTTCAACCACACAGAGACTTACTACCAATTCCTTAAACACAAGCTGGCCTTCTTCCCACAGTGGTCACCAGTTGAAACAGATGTGTCATTTAAAAAGGGGGGGGGACCAATGCTAGCAGTTATTCTGAGGCAAACATTGAGGCTGCTGGTTGTAATAATGGATGATGAAACATTTATATTTTTTTATCAGAAGCAGAGCACTAATCCAAGGGTATATAATTTAAAGCACTTCCAGAGGGAGTTGATCCCAACAGGCACCCATAAGGCCTCTATAGAGTTCCAAAGCAATGAAGCAAAGTGATCTGATTTGAGCAATCCAAGGTCTTGCAATTCCTGACTGATCCAGTTCACTAGATGGACTGATGGCAGCTTTTCCCACGATCCCATTTGCCTTGCTCCCTTTTCTTACCTGCTTCCATTCAGAACATCATGGTTCATCAAAAAGTACTGAGTCTGGCATAGCAAAGAGAAAAAGCCTCATTGAAGTCATACAGTATAAAAACACAGTTGAAAACAAATAGAATATAGGCCATTAAGGTAGCCCATGTTTAAGCAGACAATTTATCAGAAGACAGGTTTTTAGGAGTTGAAGCATCAAGGTTAGGCGTAAGTGATAAGATCAGAAATTGACTGAAGCTAAAGCTATGGCTGGTAATGTAGCAAAAAACCATATGTAGGAAATAGAACACTGCAGCCATAATTTTGCAGTCACCACATCAAAAGGTAGTGTCACTATTCTATTGTTCATGAAGATGCTGCAGATGACTTAGATGTAAACCTAGAAATGAGAGAGCAGCTATAACGATGAATTATATTAGAGGGTTGCTAACTGAGGTGATGGGGAAATATATTATGGAGCAAACATTTCAGCTCATTGGGTCAGTTCAATCATAGGTGTATTTTGGCAACTAGTAAGTGATCCTTGGGCTCAAACACTGTATTTCCTTTTCTCTACTTAAGCTGTTACTGTTTTCCTTTAGTAACCATTTCCTTTTAAACACGAATTGGGAAAACAGTGGCTTTCATAAAATACTCTTTGCCTGTAAACCAGAACTGGGAATCAAGAAATACACACAAGCCAGTGTGGTGTGATGGAAAGAGTGTTGGAGTAGGACTTAGGAGACTTGGGTCTAAATCCCTACTTAATACTGAATCAAATTCCTCCTCAAATCCCTACTCACTAATTTTTTTCCTTCAATAATCCTTTTCTAACTTTCTATCCACATACCATGTTATGATTTTAAAGATTCATGAATAGACTAGATTTAAAGGAGAGTCAAACTTTTGGGAGGCAAGAGGTCAATCCATGGCAAAGCTGCCGCCTTCCTCACCTTCACTATCCACATTTGTAGAGCCGCCAGTGTTATCAGTCTGGCGCCTCAGTCCCAAGAGGGATGGACTTGCCAAAAAGCCATCCAAGCAACACTTAGTGGACACCTGTATTTGATTCATTAAGTCTATATGCTGCCCTATTAACAAAAAAGTTCTCAGGGCAATGTACACAATAAAATGGGAAAAAACAGGTAATACAATAACAATATTAAAAGTCTCAAATTTTTAAATCACCGGTATTCCAAAAATTTAAAATGTTTGGGAGGACTAGATTTCCTTCACACTGAAAAAAAATATTAGCGAGGGAATTCAAACAGTGCAGTAGTCTATTGTGGGTCCTTCTCTAACCACTAAATTTGTTTCTAGCTGTATCTTCTCATATTTTGCTTCCACAGTGATGTGCTCTCTCTCCCCCTCCCTCTCTGCCACTTTTTTTCAAACAAGCAACCTAAACACAAATGTAAATGAGTGACATGATTGCAACAGAATTAAGGAACATGCCCCGCCTTTCCTGAGTGGGTTACACACCCACTCCTGTCCTGCTGCGTTGCAAAACAGATATTCAAACATTTCAAAAAGGCTGAGAAACAATCCTCATTTGTTGCTAAGTACAGATCTTGCTCAGGTGTTTGCCTGGAAAAAAAAAACACTGTCAAAATTTAATAGATGTTAAGCTGGGATGAAACCACTAGCACTATGTCCCAGCTTTATAAAAACAACTAGGAGCATGATTAAATCTTGGTGGTTTCAACACTGGTTTCCCTCAGTGTTACGCCAGTGCAGGAAAGGTTTTCCAGGGAGGACTTGAATGGGCGCCACATTTGAGAAGGGCCTCTCTGACATAGACATCCAACTTAATGTCATGTGTTTCTGGGCAACGAGAGGAAGGCCTGGCAAATGTAACCTAAGGGTCAAGATAGGTACATACTGTGACAAACCCAGACCTACTGGGATATGTCACACAGTTACACTAAGCTGCCACCAACCATTCCCTATAATAAGTCACACAGACCAGGGATGGATTTTTAAACAATAAAAGAATAAGGTTTATTTTAAATACAAACAGGGTAAATAAAACAATCAGGTGAATAAAATAAAGTAACGTGGCTTATTCTCACACACACAAGCATACAGTTTGGTTCACCTAGAACCTTTAACTTAAAGCACAGACCCTGAACCCATCAGTTCTGGCTAACCAACAGACCCCTGAACCTTTCAGGCTGGTACTCCGACACACAGTAGTACCCTGTCAGACACACAGACTCCCACAACAGCTTCTTCTTCCCAGCTGCTGCTTCGTCCCAACCCAGTGTCTCACAGTCTGTCTCAGCATCTCCCTCTCACCACACAGGCATCACATATTTATACAGTACAGCCCCTCCTCCTGATGTCCCGCCTTCCACTCCCCATAGGATGGAACTTTCCCTCCAAACCCATGACAGACAGGTAACATCAGTGCTGTTATGTAACACCTCCCCTCTTTAAAAGTTGTTTTGTAGGGGGAAAGCTAAAAGTGCTTTTCACCAAAAAAACAACCTGCATAAAATACACAACAACATTTATACATACCAGATAATACTTACATATACTTACACTCCAAGTTAACCATAGCAAATATGCATTTAAACATTTTACCATATACAGTACATCAATTTACCTTTATTAATACAAACCAA